CCTTCAAGCTTTTAAGACCCCAGACGCTATATCTTTTGATAGCTGGGCACCATCAGCTTTCTTGACCACATTTGCTTATTCACCCGCTTTGTCTTTAGCGGTTGTGTCGGGAAGGTGAGCATCACAGGATCCCTGGCTGGTTTTCAGAAGCAGATCTCCAAGTCTTTCTTCCTAGTCGGTCTGAGTCTGGAAGTTCCCCTTAAACCTACTCAGCATCATAGCAACACATGAGCCTCCACTGGCCCACGGACAGGTGGCCACAATGAGGCAGACTGTCCAGGCATCAGACCTGCTTCTTTCCAAGGGTAGGGTTGGTGCTCTGGCCACTGTCGAATGTCAGCTCTATTAGGGACCCTTGGGTCATCTGCGGCATGGATCCAACGACCAGGTCCTTCACTCCCAGTGGCCCCTCAGGGGACTCCTGCTTCATCATTCCACACTCTAGTGGTAGCTTATTGAAGAGATAGCCTTGGCCTCCTTCCATGGATGGCACTTGGCAAGTGGGGGAGTGTGAGGTCCACTTTCCTCTTCCGTAGAGCAACAGATGGACACCGTAGAGAATTCAGGATTCCACCAGTTCTCTGTGATACCTTGCGCAGGCCATGGTGGTGTTGGTATTGACGTTCCCACCAAATTGGTTCCAATTCTATGCACAGCAACTCCATGTGCGACAGAACAAAACACCACACTGTCCCGCACCACAATTGTTTCTGCGTTTGAGCCCATGGTTGCAGCACTGTGTCAATCCATCTTCTCGAAAGGCTTCCTCTTTTTCAACACCCCTTTATTTGACCAAGCACGATGTCCTCTCCAGGGCCCGGTCTCTCAGGACAACATGTCCAAAGCATGTGAGATGAAGTCTTGCCCTCCTTGACCCCAAGGAGCATTCTGGCCCTGCTGCTTCTGGCACATAAGGGTGGTGGGGAAGGACAAAGCCCCAGGAGGACGTGGGTCTCTCGTCTGAGGGCAGGGCAGGAGGCCTGAGGGAGAATGGAGTCTACAGGGATGTCTGTTGCCCTCGATCCAAATATCCATCATGTGCACGGAATGAAAGGGGACTGTTGGTACTGCTAGATGTAAAGTCCTTTCCGAGAGAGCATGCTCCGGCTCTGTGTAGACTGCGTGGTAGCAGCACGTTATGAGGACATTGGAGAAGGACCCTCTTCGTTTCCTTCTCATCACACAGCCTAGCAGCACCATGGACCATCACGCTCACTCTTTCTTCTGGATGTGAAAGGCGAAAGGGTGTCCCTCACGTGGAAAACACAACCAGCGCCACGGCTGCCAAGTGCATCGTGGCTGAAAAGGTGCACCCTGCACCTCTCCGCTGCCCCTCGGAACAAGGGCTGCCCAGCCCCATGCGCTGCTCTTGTGGCCTCCTGCGCTCTGAGCCAAGAATAGTCCGGGGCAGCCACCAGGACCCTGGTCTCCCCTGAGCGCCGACAAACTTCTGCAGCACAACTGCCCAGGCAGAGGCGACCTTTACCCGGCCCCTGTGACCTGGACTCCTGGGAGCTTCTGGGCAGGCCCACAGGGTCATGGCTTGTCCTTGGCAGTTCTTCTGCCAGACTCAGAGACCAGCCTTTCCCCAGCTCTTCTGCGGCAGGCCTTTCTGGCATCTGGAAGAAGCAACTCCAAGTGGCCAGGCCCTAGAGAGCCACATCTAGGACTGCCGTGGTGTTTCAGCAGCGCAGGAAAAACTGACAAAAAACGACCCATAGGCCGCCTCTTCCTCCTTCTTGCTGCATCTTCCTCCCTCCCCCGCCCACCACCCCCGGGAGGTCGCTTTGAGGATTTGTAAAAATATTTAGGAGGATACAACCTGGCCCGGTATTTGAAAGTTGCAAAGGTGTTAGTTTCCCCAGTGCTGGTTTGGTGCATTGCATGTTTTGTTCTGTGCTGTTTGTTTGGAAGAACAGGGTGGAGGGGCGGGGGGATAAAATGGAAGGCAGAGCAAACTGTAAGAACAAAAGAAAACTTGTCTATGCGCAGCCACACGTGGGTAGAGATGTTTCTAGAAACCCCAGGGAAAGCCCTCAGTGAAAGGTGGCAGAGATTCTAGGAGGGGTAGAACTGTGGAGGCTCTGGCAGAAGTGGCCCAGAAACCCCACTGCAGCCCGAAGAAGCACTCACCTCCTTCCCAGGGTCTCCGGGTCTCCCTGACGGGCCGTCCCTCCCGGGGAGGCCCTGGAGAAAAAGCAAGAACATGAGATTGTCGTCTCCGAGGAAGAAGGGGCTAACTCGTGAATCTCACACCGACCCCAGAATGCAGGGAAAGGATGCCCAGAGGAAGGACCATCCTCTCCCCAAGTGGACGAGGCCACTGGACTTCAGTCCACTCACGTTCTGTCACCCCTGCGTCTTCCCACAAGAGAAAGACAGGCTTTCTACTTGCCTGCCGAGTGACAGCTGGGAAGCCCACGGGGCAAGTCTACTCTGTCCTGTAGGGTCACTGGGGATTGGCTTCGACTCCAGGAGCCTTCCCAGGCACTTTGTGCAAACATCTGTCTTTCCCTTCCAGCTGCTATGGAGTACACGTCCCCTCATAGCTTCCGCAGGTGGGCCAAGTAGAATTGTGCCCCACGGGCTTTCAGTGGCCGCTCTTCCCGAAGGGGACGGCCAAGTCTCTCTTCTGAGTCACCTCTGGGCACTTGCTCCTGGTACCACCCAGGTGTATAAACACTGCTCAGAGGGGAAGGGAATGCTTTGGGGAGGGTTGCCTGCGTCACCTCTCACAGAGTCTCAGATCTGAAAGCCCAAGTATTTTACTGGAGAACATGAGGTGGCTCCCACTGGCCTGGGGTTCAAGGAGTCAGGACCAGCCAGGGTGAGTGTAGCTTCTTGGACCTCAACACAGGGAGGGTCTGAGGCCACAGGGGCACTTACCATGGGACCAATTTCACCAGTTTCTCCTTTGGGTCCAGGTTGCTGGCCATCCCGCCCCGAATCGCCCTGCAAACACACAGATCAAGAAATGCAGCGTGCACTCACACACACATGCACATGTGTGTGCAGGCACACAGAGGAAGCCCCACAGTGTGGGAACCCTTAGTAAACACACAGATGCAAAGCAAGGAGGGGACAGCTTTGGATCACATTCCCCCAGGAGGTAGCCATCCAACCAAGACAGAACCCAGCTCTGATCTCCACAAACTGCTCTGAGCCTCAACAGGGGGAGCTGGTACTTCGTCCCCAGAAAAAGGGGTCCCCACTGGCTGCCCTCACTGGATCAAACCTCACTCTGGCCTCTTGTTGGCCATGGAGGAGGGCCGGCCTGGTGAAGGGCATTCGCTGGCCTGTGCAGGGCCTCACTCTTCTCCAAAATCAGGCATAACGTCTCCTGGCAGGGACACCTCTTAGACCCACGTGCCAGTCTGACAGAGGTGCACACGTGCATCCTGGAAGCTGGCCTTCCAGCACGTCGCCCGCACTTCCAGAATCAGGAAGAGGGACAAACGACCCTTTATGGGCTCTCACACCATTTCAGCAGTAACTGCCTGCCTTTCTTCTCCCTTCCCCCACCCACGTCCTCGTCCCCACATCCCACCAGGGAGGACGCACTGCTTACCGGGTCCCCTCGGATTCCACCATCTCCTCTTTCTCCTTGGTCTCCTTTCGGTCCTTTGTCACCCTGGATTTAAAAATAATAATAAAATCACGCCAAAGTGGAGGCCAAGGATTAGCTCTGGTGTCAAAACGTGAGGTAGCTCTTAAAGCCACGCTCTGAGTCACGCTTCTCCACAGGAAGGGGTTTGTCCTTGGCCTTGAAGCGAGAGGGAATCCCAGACTCGGGGACTTGCTCTGCACCAGGCACTGGAGAGCCACTTATTGGGAAACAAGCGCATCCCCTGCCCACAGTACGTACAGTCTAAACTAGGAAATGAGACGTGTCGGGGCTGGAGTGGACCGGAAGGATGTCACAGACATGGAGGGAGGGAATCCAGGAGCACTCCCTGGAGGAAGTGGGCTTGCCATGAAGGAGTAAGGGAAACCGATCAGCCCCAGGTGAGACACTTCTCTGTTTCTACCAGAAAGCACCTACCCTTCTTCCAGGGCTCCCCTTGTCTCCAGACGAACCAGGCAGCCCCTTGTCTCCCTGCCAACGACAACAACACAAAGTCA